ACAACATGAGCTAAATGAATTATATGGTACCCACATACAAATTAAATATCATAATAAACTAATTGAAAAAAACCATTTCATATTATTATAAATAAATAGAAAATTTCAACTTGCAAGTAACAAATAAAAGTTTTCAACTCCAAGTTTTCAACTTGCAAGTAACAAACTAATCTTCGTATGTTAAGATAAATAAAAACCATAAAACCGTAAAACCAATAAAATCAATAACACCATGAAACCAAGATTAATTTTTAAAAATATTTGAATCTTCGTTGGGTACATCTACTTCCTTGGCTGTATTTGAAGTTGCGGTTCACCTCCAAACTCGGCACAAAGAAAAGTCATCCTTTCTATCTTTTCGTTAGCAAGGCGTAGCAATTCATCTTCATGGTATTTGAGAAGATGATAGGCGAGGGATTATCTGTCACACAGATTTTCTGTCAGCATAAAATCCATCTCATCGAGAATCAACTTCCTCATGTCCTTAATCTCACGAAGTTTCCAATGATTCCCATGGTAGCTGAAAAAGAACATAAAAAAAGAAAATAAAGGCTGAGATTTTCTATGTATTCCAATGATCATAGACGTTTACAATATATAGACATTCCCAAAGAAAGATTATAGGGATATATAAGACTAACTAAGACTCTGTTAGAACAATACAGAGAAATCCTCTCGTATCTACATCACTTGATTTGAGGAGAAGTTACAACAGATGCAACGTGTGAAGCCATTAGTACGTATCCCAGTTTCTGGCCAAAGTAAAACAGGAATCATCAATCGGCTATAGATCTCACGGAAACACAGCACAAATATCTCATGATCGATCAGCTATAGGATCGAATCACATGATATCACAGAAAAATAGTACAAAAACCGAATTCAAGCATGAGAATCGGATAACAATCGAAGGTAAATAAACAACAACGGCAACATATACGATCGGATTCAAGCATGAGAATGATTTACCTGGAACGACACATACAACAAAGCGCGATAACACGAAGAGGAGAGGAAGCCATCGTCTAAGGGAAACAGCAATTTTGACCTTTCTCGTAAACTGAGATGATCTCTAAAAGGGTTTCGACGTATCTGATGAATAGTGTTCAAGGAGCCACTTTGGGCTATGTGCTCTAATTCAAAAATTGGGCCACTATTAGGCTCAAAGTTTTATTATTTTGGCTATTCGTTAATCAAGGTTCACGAAACATAATCCCTTTTGTTTAACAATTTTATTAAATTTGGTATAAAAAATTTGGATTTTTATTTATTAGTTTAGTTTTTATGTTTGACAAAACAACCAATTCTTTGAAGATACAAAATGATATTTGATATGAAATAATATTTTTATCTATACTGCATAAAAATATGAAACAATTGTCAATCATTTAAATACTATATTTATTATTTTAAATATATTTGTTTAAAACTTTCTTATCTATATAAAGTTTATCATTGAATAAATCAGATTTTTTAAATAACCAGTCAAGATTTTAAAAGTAAAAATTATCAATCTTTTTCTATTATCTCTCTATAATATTATTACTTATCATTTCTATTTCTTATTTATCTTGTCTCGTGAGTTTATATATTTTTGATCTTTGAAAAATAATTCAATTTCTTATGTAATTTTTCTTACAGTTTTGTGTTTCTC